AATTGTTTTTACCCGTAGACGGTCGTGTTGATACAAGTAATCGACATGAACTTGAAGGCTATAATTTCCAAACTCCTCTTGTTGTTCTTTAATTTGCTTTGCCGAATTCACAGCTGAAGGGCTAGCGTCATCCAATTCAATGATTTGAAGCGTTGGTATATTTCCAATACTACAAGGGATCTCCTCTAGTTTGGAACATTCCCTAATAATTAGGCGCTCAAGGCGTGGGAAGTGAGTGTCATCAGCTCTCCATTGCACTAGTTTCAAATCGCAAAGTAGCAGAAATTTGAGTTTGCAAAATTCTCCTTCGGTTGGCTCCCATTCTTGCCCAACAAAGGCATTATCTAGCAGTTTGAGCACTACAAGATTTGGCATTGAGCCAACAATCGTCATATGTTTCCAAGAAATATAGCTACCCGAAAAAGTTAACTTTTTGATATTTGGTGGGAAAGTGAAATTTATCGGGACTCTAACACGTTGAGCCATATTTTTGATTTTCAAGGTCTCAAGTTGAGAAAGATTTATGAGAGTACCTAGAGAGATCTCATCATCTAAATAGTCCCTAGAAATCCCTAACTTGTTTAGATTTGGAACTCTTTCAAAGACTTTCTTGGTACAGCTGGAACTACTCACTTTTGAAAGTGTTAAAAGATTTCCTAGAACAAAAGGTTTCCTAGAGAGAGGGGCGGGAGGCAAATAACAATTCCCGAACAGGAGATGCCTTAATTGTGTCATCCTCCATATTTCCTCTGGTAGATGTACATCGTTACTATGTACAATTAAGGTCTGTAGATACCCAAGAAAATCAGGTAATGTTTTAGGTATGGTAATTTTCCCAGAACAGGGGAAAGCAAGGTACCTTGAGTGAACTAATTTTACAAATGGGAAACCATCTACACGTTGCTTAAGATCCAACACCCTGAGCAGTGGAAAAAGTTTTCCGTCAACTAATTCATTAATGTGGCTTTCATCTAGTTCTTGAATTAAAATAGAACGGACTGGTGGCAAGGATCCCATGGACTGGTAACCTTTGAATTCCTCGTGAAGAATATCTGGATGGGTAAAGAGGCGACGTGAATACTTTATGCTTTCAGGAAAAATGTCATCTTTATCTCTGAAATGAAAAAACTTCTCATCGTGGGCTTTCTTTAAGCATTGGTCCCTTAACATATCATGGATGCTACACGTTTTTATCTTTCCTCTAGAACTCTTTTTACTACTCATAATAAGATTTCTGGAAATTAGATCTCTCAAATATTTCTCCGCCACTTTTTCCAAGGTTTTACCTCTGACTGGT